TAGTATGTAATCTGAAATAAATCCTGTCCTTTTCCAAATTGCCTTTGGAAAGAGAATGGTAGGCGTTGAAAATGTACAGAACATACTAACTTAAGAAAACTAAACATGGTGTCAGCTTTAACCTGCTGTTGCTAGTAGAATGACCTCTGAAGCACCCAGATATGTTTTATGTACTAATATCATTGAATGCATTCAAATTTTCAGACACCAGCTATTCTGACATGTTTGGGTTTCATAAAAGGGAGAATGGTTTTGTTAAATGGTGTTGAAAATTAGTTCATTTCAGTGATAATAAAAGTGATGGTCTGTAAGATTTAAAAAGTATGAATAAAGGGTAAATTATTCTTTGTGTGCACCAAATGTCTTGTTGAATTTCACTGAAGAAATAAAAATGTAATTGGGAGACATTTTGAAATGTAAAATGCATTATATTAGCAAGTGCTGTGGTCATTCAATTTTGCTGTTCCGATTCAATTTTTTATACCTTTTTCTTGTTAAAATTTAACTTCATTCAGTGTAATTCTAGTCCCTTTAAAGTACATCTGTGAATAATAACTCACTAGTGTTTTTATAGCTTGGTATCTCCAGAACTGAAAGCAGAGTGAACCTGACTGAGTCTTTGGATTTAGTGCAATGACTGTTACACATATGTTTACAGGATGGAGAAGAGAGAAATGACAGATGACAGTGAAGTACCAGGGAATATATGACCTCAGACACATTGCAGATTCCATCATCTACCAGGATATCACCCTAATAAAGACACTGAAAAATATAGGTTTCAAATGTTTTAATTCTACAAAAGTGAACCTTCTAAAAATAGATTCTCCTTGTATCTACATTGCTATAAAATGTATTTGAATAGAGTAACACTGCAATTAAAGCTGGACACAATTGCACTGCTTTTGTAAATTTTGAAAATATATCTAGTATATTAATATTATGTCTCACCAAATTGCTGGGCTGCTTTTGTAAGGCATTTTCTTCAGTTTTGTGAGCTAACAAAAGGAATCCAATAGATGGAAGCTTTACTTCATAATAATAAATAATTCAATGTATTTGTACAATAAATAAATGCCACAAAATAGAAGATTTATAGGATTTATTGAGTTAAAATAATTACTTAGTATATGAGTCTCTGCATTATTCA